GGCATCTGTGCTGAAGTTAAAGGAACAACGCATGCAGCAGCAGCAGCAACAACAACAGCAACAGCAGCAGCAGCAGATTCAGCAACAGCAGCAGCAGCAGATCCAAAACATGTCCAATATGCAAACCATGCCACCTCAGCAACAGCCACAGCCATCACCAATCACCCGCAACAGTTCCGCATGCTGCAGCAGATGCGTCAGCAACACCAACAAGCAGCAACAACAACAGCAGCAGCAGCAGCAACAACAACAGCAACACCATCAGCAGATGAACCAGTTCCAACAACCAATGCAATCCTTCCCACAAAGGCAGCGAATGAACTTCCCGCCCCAGCAGGCATACCAGAATGATAATTCGTTGCAGCACCAGTTCCAACAACAACAACAACAGATGATGCAGGTACAACAAATGAAGCAGCACATGCAGGCTGCAAGTAGTGGACAGCCTATGAGTCCCAATCAGCTTCTGGCACAGACAAACCCCTCGCCACAGCACCTTATGCAACAGGTGCGATCACCCCCAGCTTCCGCTGCACAGCTTCCACAAAGTGTCCGATCTCCACAACCTACCCCCTCACCCCGTCAACAGCCCATCCCCTTCCCGTGCCAGCCACAACAATCACCTCATCACATACCTCCCATTCACTCCCCTCACCCAGGGGTAGGTGGCCCACCTGTACCATCCGATCCTAATCAAATGAACTCTGACCAAGTCATGCTTCCTCAGCTGTCATCAACTCATGCTACAATATCCCAGTTACAAAGCCCTGCTAATCCTTCAGACTTGGGACTGAGCCAAGCGGAATCTGATGTGTCTCCGCTTCCACCACAAGACCAGCTTTCACGCTACGTGGAGACATTGTAGTAGTGGGCTGGCCGGATGACCGGCAGTTGAATGTGTTGTGTACAGAGACAGAAAAGACTGAAACCCAAACATAAAACCCATGCAACAGATAATTTATGTATCATAATTATAACTTTATAGAGATTGGTCATCATTGTATTTTGTCATGTTTTTCATTTTTGCAGAACAAATGTGTCATGTTTTCATAAAGAAGATGTATGTTTTATTATATAAAGAGAATTTATATCACCTGCAGATAAAATCAGCCTAGTTAGTCATAAGTTAATCTCATTGGACTTTCATTGCCCATGGACTTGAAACATTTCTACTTGTGTACCATGAATATGTATGAAACTTTATTTGTATAGTTAGTTTCATAAGAACCACTCTGTCCTGTGTCTTGATTTCATTATGGCTCAGCTCTCTATGCTGTAGTTAGTTTTATAGCTTGCTAGTTTGTTTAGATGTATGTTTTTTTTTAACTGGCTGGAAGAGAGAGTGATGCGACACTAGAGGCAAACTGCCAGAGTGTCCAGTGAATGTTGTATGTGATTGAATGACCACGTGATGACCGTTAACGTATTCTTCGAAATTGGTATTTTATGTCCAGTTGGACGATGTACAGTTTCCAGCATGAAATATCAACTACTTAACTTGTCCTTGTACCACAACCAGTGAAAAACATGCTCTCTTCCTGCCATTAGGAAAAGTGCATCTGCTGTTCCTTCCCTCTCCCTTCTCTGCCCCCACCCCTGCTGAGGGTAGCTGGCTGGTGTGTGGGAGATGAGGAGGGTGGAGATTAGGGTACCTAAGTGTCTGTACAAACTCTACTGTGTGTATGTAGCTACTGTGTCTTGGAGATGCTGGACTGCCAGTGTCTCCAGTCTTTACTACAATCTTTCCAATTTGCATTTGAAAATTCATGAGTGACATATTGTAAATAAATAAAAATTTTCCTACAAGGAAATTGAATGAAATGATTTTGAGATTTTGTCATCTTTTTTGTTGTAGATCTCTTTAGGACTGATTTTCATTGTCTCCTTGAAATAGCGTTTAAATGATATGAATACTACAATGGACCAGTGATAACTGTTCATTGTGGGACAGTGATTTAGTAGGAGTACTATGATAACTTTCAGTCACTCATAAGGCTGTTATTGTCGCTGTATGTTGTGTCTGAGCACTGAAAAATCACACAAGTATGAAAGAAAAACCTGAGGTTGAAGTTGCTTTGAAAAGATGCAGGTGGCTTGAAATATTACCTAAATAGACTCAAGAAGTACCTGTTTCCCTTTCTTTACCAAGCTATACCCAAATTAAATCCTGTGTGCAGAATGAGTTTTGCCAGCAAAGCCGCCGCAAGCTTTACTCAATTCTTTTAGAATGTATAGCAGTTATTTGAAATGACAATTTTAGGTCCACAAGAAACAATCACCTCATCACATACCTCCCATTCACTCCCCTCACCCAGGGGTAGGTGGCCCACCTGTACCATCCGATCCTAATCAAATGAACTCTGACCAAGTCATGCTTCCTCAGCTGTCATCAACTCATGCTACAATATCCCAGTTACAAAGCCCTGCTAATCCTTCAGACTTGGGACTGAGCCAAGCGGAATCTGATGTGTCTCCGCTTCCACCACAAGACCAGCTTTCACGCTACGTGGAGACATTGTAGTAGTGGGCTGGCGGATGACCGGCAGTTGAATGTGTTTGTACAGAGACAGAAAAGACTGAAACCCAAACATAAAACCCATGCAACAGATAATTTATGTATCATAATTATAACTTTATAGAGATTGGTCATCATTGTATTTTGTCATGTTTTTCATTTTTGCAGAACAAATGTGTCATGTTTTCATAAAGAAGATGTATGTTTTATTATATAAAGAGAATTTATATCACCTGCAGATAAAATCAGCCTAGTTAGTCATAAGTTAATCTCATTGGACTTTCATTGCCCATGGACTTGAAACATTTCTACTTGTGTACCATGAATATGTATGAAACTTTATTTGTATAGTTAGTTTCATAAGAACCACTCTGTCCTGTGTCTTGATTTCATTATGGCTCAGCTCTCTATGCTGTAGTTAGTTTTATAGCTTGCTAGTTTGTTTAGATGTATGTTTTTTTAACTGGCTGGAAGAGAGAGTGATGCGACACTAGAGGCAAACTGCCAGAGTGTCCAGTGAATGTTGTATGTGATTGAATGACCACGTGATGACCGTTAAGCGTATTCTTGAAATTGGTATTTTATGTCCAGTTGGACGATGTACAGTTTCCAGCATGAAATATCAACTACTTAACTTGTCCTTGTACCACAACCAGTGAAAAACATGCTCTCTTCCTGCCATTAGGAAAAGTGCATCTGCTGTTCCTTCCCTCTCCTTCTCTGCCCCACCCCTGCTGAGGGTAGCTGGCTGGTGTGTGGGAGATGAGGAGGGTGGAGATTAGGGTACCTAAGTGTCTGTACAAACTCTACTGTGTGTATGTAGCTACTGTGTCTTGGAGATGCTGGACTGCCAGTGTCTCCAGTCTTTACTACAATCTTTCCAATTTGCATTTGAAAATTCATGAGTGACATATTGTAAATAAATAAAAATTTTCCTACAAGGAAATTGAATGAAATGATTTTGAGATTTTGTCATCTTTTTTGTTGTAGATCTCTTTAGGACTGATTTTCATTGTCTCCTTGAAATAGCGTTTAAATGATATGAATACTACAATGGACCAGTGATAACTGTTCATTGTCGGACAGTGATTTAGTAGGAGTACTATGATAACTTTCAGTCACTCATAAGGCTGTTATTGTCGCTGTATGTTGTGTCTGAGCACTGGAATACACAAGTATGAAAGAAATACCTGAGGTTATTTGAAGTTGCTTTGAAAAGATGCAGGTGGCTTGAAATATTACCTAAATAGACTCAAGAAGTACCTGTTTCCCTTTCTTTACCAAGCTATACCCAAATTAAATCCTGTGTGCAGAATGAGTTTTGCCAGCAAAGCGTCGCAAGCTTTACTCAATTCTTTTAGAATGTATAGCAGTTATTTGAAATGACAATTTTAGGTCCACAAGAGAGCTCTCCTGAATAGGGTGGAAAATAATTTGTTAAGTAATAATATTCAAAGGTTCCAATATTGTATACGTCCACTTTTATTGTAGTTATACATCATCACTCATTGTTGAGGAAGCCACAGAATTGTAAGAGATGTCAAAGAAATTTTAGTTTCATGTGCAACCACACAGACATATCAGCGTTATCAACATGAGTTTGGAAATCCATAATTGTAACACATACTATATATGCTGTATGAATATGGACAGCATAGCAGTAATTAGTGCATGATTAAAATCAAAGAGTGAAACAATTACCACATCCATAATTCATTCCAAATTTCAGTTCGAACCAAAAATTACCAATCAATATGGCTCTTGTGGTAGCCATGTTTAACATTGGAACATATAATTTTCACTTTAAAAAGCTTTAAATAAGATTCCCATTTCTATATAGAAGGATCACTGTCTTGCTGGTTCCAGTTCCCAGTGAGCACTGCTGTCCCAGTCCTCAATGTGTCAGTTTGCTGTGCAGAGTTGTGTCCCTTAGGCATGACTGAAACTATGATTGTTCATTCAAATCCCAGGCTCATCTGAAATATTTCAGATTGCACTGTGCATGTTAATACACAAGTGTTTACAGTTCCTCAGAAGCATCAGTGCCCCAAATGAATATTGTGCCTCAATTTGCTTTGCTGAATCCTGATCTTGGATTCAAGTCCCAGATTCCCATAATTTTGTGTCCAGGTTACAGCACATGCTGTGCCAGTGGGTTTCATTACGCAGACATGCTGTGACATATCTGAAACACTGTTCAAAGTAGCATTAAACACACTTTCAACTAACTTAAGTTGTCCCTAGACAGACAAGGCATAGAAACCAGGGTCCTGATCCATTCGTAACATTACGACCTGTCGTAACTCTATAGTTTATCATAGGCCTAGAATGTCATAGCACTACAAACTTTTTGTGGATCGGGACTCTTGATCCAAATGTGTGAACAAGCATCCACATCATCCACTTTGCTTGGCAATCACTGAGGCTGGAACTATGTAAACATAAACTAACAAGCATTTGAGTGTTACAAAGAAAGTAAACAATATGAGTTTAAACTTCCTTTATTTCATTTCTGAATAAATAAAAACTCTACTTCAAGTAGCCATCAAAAATACAAACATCACCAGACAATTCTACAAACATAAACACCTAGCACTTTCTACAACCGGTACAGATTAACAGTCAACAGGACTATAGTGTAGACTGGGAATAGCCTTTACAACCAAAAGAACAAATCACCACTTTCAGAGAATTCTGTCAATAAATTTATGCAGTTAGTGCCAAACTTATGAATACACAAGAGTACCACTAGACAGTTTGAATCACAACCACCCATTTCCAAATCAGTTAAGGAAGTAAGGGCAGGTTACTCTAATTACCTACCAAATTACCTCCCCTGCCCAAAATGTCTACTGTTGGAAAACACATTTCAGTATGAACTCAATTTGAATTTGCCAAAAAAAACGTATTAAAATCTTTCATAAAGCTAAGAAATGTTTATGATTATAGAGAAGGCAAAAGCATTCTTGTACCATCAGGGAAAAGGTTGTATCTGCATCCTTTGGTTGTAAGGCATCCGTCTAAACTTCTACAACATGAATAATCAGACATGACTTTCAGAATGTTAGCTTTGTGAAATATCAGCAAACATCCCAGTAGATCAACAAGATTTAAAAAGGTAAGAAATTTATAAATGTTAAAGGAATTAGTAATAAACAGACAACTTGTTTGAGCATACAAAGTGTTACATGACGCTTGAAACCAGCATGAATGGAAAGCATGTGAATTATAGCAGAGAAACAGTCAGTGGGTAACATTTGCTGGCTTAATATAAATAATGAATAGATGATTTGGGTGAACTTGGTTTAACATGGATAGCCTGCCCCTGCCAATTAATATCCGTTGTTTTTTCTCAACATTGCTAGAATGTTTTGTTTTTCATCATCAGTTTTCAAGGTCGAACTTTCACTGACATCTCGCAAACAGAAACAATACAATTACTGTTACTATGACATTTCATTGGAGGTTTACAACACATGTAAACTAAATCGAACAAGGCTTCAAAAACTTACAAAAAGGTTTGGAAAATAAACTTGGTATCAAGACTGAATCTACACCATGTCAATTTGAATTGACACATCAGTCATCCTAACAATAAGTCAAAATCAAATTTTATTCAAAACTTATTTAGAGTTTAACCACATTTTAACTGATGCACATATCTCAGACTTTGCCTATGTGTTGACAGAGTATGTAACTTGATATGAAGGGGAAATATTAATGTTCATTACACTTCAAAGTATACAGCAAACATCTGTTTCTAAAAAATCACATCTCAATATCATAAGTAATAATCATATTTATGGTAACCATATTCACAAGGTGGGAATTTATGGATGTCAACTTCTTCATTTGAGGTACAGGACGAGTCGGAATATATTCTTACTCATTCATCAGACGAATGACCTGATTAAGGAGTAAGAATATACATGTACTCGCAAATGTCGTGTTCTTCAAATAAAGAAGTTGGCTTCCACAAATTTTCGCCTTTATGTGTATCACTTCCAAATGCCGTTCAAAAGACCATTTTCTAATTTTAAGTCCAATAACATCACCCAGGATAGTGAAAAATACTGAGGAATATTAACTCAGATTCAGTAGTGAAAGAAGACAGCATGTAATGCTGATCCTAACAATTTTCCATTAAAGTTATAACAATGAGACACAGTATGGACTTTACTCTTGGTACCCTTGTGGAGAATTAAGCCAGGCCCCAAGGTTATAAAGAAAGAATGTTCAAGTCAATTTTGTGCTGAGTACAACTCTCACTCAATGAACTCTTTGTTTATGACACAAGCAGAAATGTGAGCTGCCATTGTTGACATCGGATTGGTGTTGAGCACGGTCCAAAACATCCTTAAGATCATAAGTTTTCATGCTCAAGTTGAGCACGAACACATGCTCAGATTTTTAATAACCCCGGATGAGTCTGAGTTTTGAGTTGAGCACAAAACCATATTTGAGCATGAAATCTTACCAAATACAATTTTATAACCTCAGGGCCAGGTCTTCTAACTGATGACACTAAGCTTTAACCCTCCCTGACCAACGTGAACATCAGGAACAGTCCTATTTTGCCAGTAGGAATACTTCTCTCTTAACATTCAACTCACTCTTAAACAGTACCAAACCTCAGCTGGGTATAGCTAGTTGGAAAGAATGTTATAAAAATGAATGAATATATTGTATATTGGATAAACAAATCAAAGTATATCAAGCACAACCTAGTGATTGTCAATTATACTGATATCGATAAAAAAAAGTATAAAGGTCAATATTTTCAATGCTATATATTTCTTGGTTTTAGCGACTTTTTTGGGTGACAATTATTCATGAAGAAAATACAATCCTTGAAATATGTTAGTATCACGAAATTTTTACAAACAAAATTTTAGATTAAAAAAAACAAGAGAATGTAAAATACTGGAGTAATATTTATGTAGTATACACTCCCTTACATTAAACAAAACTGTATTTTTCACATACTTGGTTAAAATAAAATGGTTTGAGTTGCACACAAGATGCTGTCATGAATATTTTCTATTTGATATCTGTGACATGAATCATAAACACATGCGACTGATTAAAAGACATAGAAAACCTCCTACATACCTTATTTCTATTTTCAATACTTTCAATTTGACAAATAACATTTTTGAAATATACAAAACATGATTTCACAAAATAATGATTTTTATTTGTGATTACCTCCCTTGATGTTTCCCATCACCTCAAACTTCCCATCCCTGATGTTGATAGTAACAGACAACTTTCCTACGACATTAACATGCTTATTAGAAAAGATACAATATTCATTTTCAAAAGCATACACCTTCATGATATGATGAATAAATAAGAAATGTCAAAAATACAGTAAATATATATATATATGTATGTATATGTATGAAATATTACACACACGATGGTTGACTGAGCACGGTGAAGTTTAGGTATATTTACAATAGACCAACAAATACACAAACTATTCAACACAAACGATCAGATCCTTATCATCAAATATAGAGTGTACACTTTATGTAAATGGTTTTTCCACATATTCAGGCATTCCAACTCTGAAATCGAAGGATTACTGATAATTGCGTTTCTCAGGGGATAACATTGAGCTATGGCATATACTCAAGTTCCACAGTTGCCATGACAACCAACACTCAGCTTATGCAACCTACCATTCTAATTTTGGGAGTACCTGGTATTTCTATTCAGGAAAAATTAATCAGACGATCAAAATAGTATGCTTTGGGCTAAAAGATAAATTGCTAGGTGAAAGGCATTCTTAAAATTGAATGTCTTAAAGGAATGACATGAAATAGTTTCTTTGCAAGTAATCAAGGGATTAAATGGTTGGTTGGTCCCCCAGTTCTGGAATGGGATCCAACCAGCATGAGGGGATTTTCAGCAGTTCTTTATGATCAATGCTTGGGATTGTTTCTTAAATCCCAAAGGAAATATATGATATCGAACAGCATGCTAGTCTGAGAATTATAATTTTTTATGACAATTGATCTTCCTCTTCCAAAGCAATTTCATGAATGGCTGAATCAAAAGAAAAATTTCCAACATTGATGCTGTTCTTTGAAGAACAATTCACATTTTCCAAGGAACGTATGAAGACGAACCCCTTTAAAAATTAACCAAGACCCAATTTTCATTGTTAAATTGAAGAGATAACTAAAACTGTATGCCAAGCCTTGACTATTACCGTGTCCCATGAATTTACTGTCATATTCGGATAATCTGCTGACTGCAAGAGTTTCCGACTACCAGTTTACCGTAAGTGACAATCAGCTGACTGACAGTATCTCACAATGAACTGTCAGTGTCTGACAATCACTTGATTGTAATGGTCTGACAGCCACATGAACTGTCTGACAATCAGTGACTGTATCAACAAATGTACTGAGACAACGTCTGACAATCTGACTGCAACAGTTCCTGACAATAATGTCACTGTGACATCACCTTAAAGTCAGTTGACTGTACCAACGATCAGTTGACTGTACCAACGATCAGTTGACTGTGTCAGGCAATGAGACATAGCTTCCTCGTAGTAATTTGTCCTACTAATCAATTATCCTTTCGTTGGAGGGTGCTTGGAACACAACACAAAACAATCATACAAGAAAACTACTTCAACTGGTTAGGTGCCCTGTAGTAAACACGAAAATAATACTTTCTTGGTTTTAAGGAAAAAGTCAGGTTCACAGAAACAATGAATATAGAATGGCTAAATTTCACAACTTCATAGTGTGTACAATTCAAGTCACTTCACGATATAATACAAAGCCAATATCAATATCTCAGCCATTGATCATAGTAAACATGACTAGTTGAAAGTGGATCGCTGATGTAATGGATAACAAAATATGGTTTTGAGTGACTATTTTGGGAGATCACCCTTCAAATTCAATGACATATGATCTTACTCACTAATTCTGCCTGACTTAATGGATAAAACAACTAAATGTTACCGTTCATGTGGGAATGAGTGAGTTGGGTTGAACACCTCTTTCAGCAATATTTCAGCAACATTCTAGCAATACCACAGCAAGAGAAGACACCAGCTTCACATACATGCTAATCAACCAACCTTGATTTGGAAACAGAAGTAATGTTATTTGAACTGCCTGTAACTGCTTTAGAACATCAGGATAATATGGCATCACTCAGACATGACGGAAGTTTAATAGAAAAATAACGTCCACAAAACATGACACACATCTCCAATTTTAAACTAAATCTTCAGCTCACTTGACTCCAGACAATGATGCATATAAATCACAGGATATATCTGCCAAACTGGCCAACAAGGAAAGGGTCAAGCAAGCCGTCTGCTCCAGATGACATTTTGAAAGCTGCTTCAAGATCCAGGAAGAATGATACTATCCTTGGAAGAAAATTTGATGATAAAAACTGTCCAATGGTTGCTTGGTTCCAAAATGGCTGCCGAAAATGGACACTTGATTACCTTTGACAGATGACTCTCACACAAACTAACATTTTCCATAATGTTCCTATTCCAAAACAATAACTTGAGAGCTGGAGGAGTGTTTAAGATAAGTTCAATGATATCCAAAAATTCAAAGTGATAAAACTGTTGAAGTAACAAAACTTGACAAGACAAACGGTAAATGCCAGTCGATATGGTTTGTGGAGTTATTTCCCTTTACAAGTTGCCTTGTCTTGACGTCAACTCGACACTGGTTCTTCATGATGACAATCAAGTGAAGGTGGTCAACACAACTGTAACAACACATTGTGTCACAATACGATATGTATCTAGATAGTAAGATGTGAAACTGAACACCTTTAAGGGTACAGGTTTCACTTTGACACCAGCTCACCAACGGTTTTCTAAAGAGGCGATTTAGTTAAGTTGGATGGTCAATCTACTTGGCTGTTCCCAAAATACATTTTGAATTTTAAGTATCTTTATATTGTGATGATTGTCATTAAGTTTACATTCATTTTGTTGTAAAAATTGGACCATCAGATGTGATCCTCCGTTCAGGCTGCAAGTATCACGAAACACCAATGCTGAATGTTTGAGGCACATGGCAATATTCCAGTTATAGGACAATCACCTGTAATAATCAAGTTTTGACCAGACAAACCAGTGATTGATATTATTATGAGCAACAATTCCTGTCTTCAGGATGCAATCCACCAAGTCTGACCACCATTAAATCACCTTTTACAACACACCTCTTCTAACTGGAATCATCAAATTGTTATAGCCAAGGCAACTCATATAGGGAGTGTTAAGGTAGATATGCTGGTATGATATGAAAAGTCGAGAGATTTATCTACATTTGAAGTGAATATCTTCCAACTGAGCATGCTAACCTTGCTTCACATTATCTTAAATCAGCATATTTACATATGAAAAAAAAATCTTCAAAGTGAATTTTTCTAAAATATCTAAATCTACTGCTGAAAACAAGATCTAACCAAAAATATCTAAAATAAAGCAACAAAAAAGTTTTAAAAGTGTAAATTCAGAGAAATTAGAGTTTAAAGAATTACTTCCCAAAACATTGTAGTTTTCCATAATAAAATTTTCGGAAAGCAAAAGCAGAAAATGTAAATCCAAGGAACACAAATCTAAAAACAATCGCACTGAGACGTATTCTTATTGATCTTTTTTCCATTTATAAACATGTATCCTGAGTTTGTCACTTTCCCAAATGCATATAAAACAATAGATAATTGTCATCATTGAAAACAAAAAGTAAAAAACCTTGTTCTCAGAACAGGGATTACTCTGGGGTAACAAACCACGTGCATTTGGCAAACAGTGAAAAATAGGTAATTTGTTCAAAAATAGGGTTTTCTGAAAACATCCATATTTTTGTAAATTTAGGGGTATTATAATGTTTCTTTCAAATGCAAAACGAAACGTTACAGATTTTTCTTGTTCATTGGTTCTGTTAGAAGTAAAATGCAAATCTGCCCTGCACTGCAGTAACATTAGTTATTCCTGGAACAACATTGTAATTTGTTCTGTTCCAATTTGGGAAGTTTAACCAATATTTCATTCAGAATCATGAGCCTCTGAGCAGGTATTAATTGTTTTTGCAGAAAAACCATTGTGTTCATAAATTCTTCTACAAAATAGAACACAGAACTGTACCGGTTATTTTCATTACATGGATGTTTGCCTCAGGTACAAATATAGATCTACCTTTAAATAAAGTTAAATACCTCTTGAAAACATCTACCAGTCACGGCATACTGTGTTAGATGTCCCCTGAACATCAAATAATGTTATATTTATACAATACTTTGGGACAGCAACTTCTAAATAAGAATTTGATATAATAACATGTCACAAAACTTCACTTCATATTACCGGTACACATATTTGTGGCATATGTCAGCTTAGCAAGGATACAGACGTTGAGGTATGAAAACATGATTCTTGTAAGCATGATAAATGCAATGTTAAAAACACAACAGAGTTTGAGTGTCTGTCTTGAAATATCTCTTCTTTTACACAGTGGTAAAAGAATCACATTCATTGTCAAGTAAAAGTGGATTCAGTGAAGTAATTATGCTGATAAATCACCAACAGATACTGATGCCGGAACATCTCTTCTGCCAGTTTATATATAGGACTTCCAAGCTAAGATCCTTCCTCCAAGTAATTACTGTCCTGTCTAGCAGCTATACAGGACTGAACAGTCTTTGCCTCAATCTTGTAATGCCCAGCCTCGGTTTGATATCATCCAGCCTCACTCTGATGTCTAGCCTCAGTCTGGTATCATCCAGCCTCAATCTGGTAAGCCCAGCCTCAGTCTGGTATTATGGAGACAATGAAACATGCTGGTAATAGAAGTAGTTCATGAAATTAAATGCAATGACAGAGTTGACATGTACTTTGAGCTCATATCCTGACAATACATCAAGGAAGGTCAGAGTATCTGAACTGCTGACCACTTCCAGACTTGTGCCAGTCTGTTGAATACACACATCAATGTACACAAGTTCTACTTGTGTGGTAAGAATACTTGAGTAGACAGACAGAGACTGTATGTTGCTCCTTGAGGAATAGATATCCTGTCACAAAAACCATGGATTATGTGCTGATCATGGGCAAGCTTCTGCTTTAGGATCATCCATTTTACATGCTTGGAATCAGCTTAATTCTTTGCAGAAGAATCACTTCAGTTTCTTAAGTGTCAAAGAATGTTGCTGATATGGGAACATCCACCAGTGCTTCTGTCCATGAATTTTAATTATGTTCTTTAGTCACCTCACTGCTGCTCCTGTCTATCTTCATTATCTCAATGTTGGTTTCTAAAGTTTGTCACCAGCACAGTGGATTTGTTTTAAGACATTCATGGATCCTGTAATGTAAGGTGGCATAAGAGGGACCTCACAATCTTCATCCTTCTCTCACTCAGTGAGTCTGGATGTGACGTCAGTGAGCACCACATACAGTATGATACCCTCGTATCAATACCAGTAATCACATAGTTAAATGTTTGTTCTATTGAAGCATAACCAACCATGAGTGGCAAGATCCAATAACTTCTGCTGGTGATCATCACTGGGGCAGGAACAGTCTTGCTTGTATTTCAATATTTGCTGTCAACATCACGGGTATCTTCTTCATGTGAAAATCATATCTTCAGTATCACCAGCAACCATCACATACCCGAGAAGCCATCTTGATAATTTAGGTTTGACATCTTCTCATTTCCATTCAGCAGAGTCCTTCTTCTTAACAACAAGATACGTCTTCATCTGACCCTTTCCTTTGACCGTTATCTCATCTCGGTATTCAAACTCGAACATATCTGCTAAGTAAGTAGCTGTTGACTGCGGCACTTGTATTTTGTTTGCCACGCCTGTGGAATACATTCTACTGGCGATATTGACCGTGTCGCCCCAAATGTCATATAACAATTTAGTTGTTCCAATAACCCCTGCAGTTACCTCCCCATAATTAAATCCAATGTTCAGGATGAATTCAAAATTGAAGATACTCTCGTTAAATCTTGTTACCACATTTTGTAGCTCCATGGCAAAGCACAGCAGGGCGTACAGATGTGCTTTGGGATCTTCATTCTTTGCCCGACTCTGCTCATTGAGTCCTGATGCGGCCATGAAGGTGCTACTGATTGTCTTGATCTTCTCTACATCTTTGTACTGCGGCAGATCAAGGAGTACCTCATAGTCACTGACCAACTCGTTCAGCACTCGCAAATATTCCCTTCCACCTTCATACGACTCATCGTAAAACTCATTGAAGTTGACTATGGCGGCAAAGATGACACCACAGTCTTTGTGGTTCTTGGAATACTTGGATGTTTTCTTGACGATGTCGGAGATGTGCTGTGGGATAATGTTGTGCAGCAGCCAATCAGCTTGATCCTTGTTATCATGCATCTGCTTCTGATCTCGGTCAGCCTGAGCACTGCCATAGAAGCTAAGGCGGTAGCTAATCTCAAATTCTCGATTCATGAACAAGATGAGTAGAAGCAGAAGTATCATATCCAAGATAATCTCGTAACGGATGTAGCTTCGTCCTGTGAAGAGGCGACGATAGGTATCATTTCCTACTGGTAAGGGCATGTTCAAGGTGATGTTGGAGGGCGTGACGCTTGCGTTGTAAGTGGCTGAGAGGTTCAAATCAGATTCAAGCGGACAGAGTTCGATGTTGAGGAGGATTAGAAGGATGATGCCAGCTATGGCTGCTACAATGGACTTCAGCCACGAACTCAACATCGTGAAGTTACAGAAGTGAAGAATGGACACAACAATACAGAAACACAGGAAATAATCCCGGTCCCTCTGGTCATGAATCAACGTACACGACAAGTTGGAATAGACAGCAACAGCAGGCAGACTTGCTACAAGAGCCCCAAGGAAGTTTCGGAAGTACCAACCAGACACTAGCTGCATGACTGTCTCGAACTGTTCGGCCTTGTCCTGGCTGATGATCACTTGAACCAGGACCAGGATCTCGATGACCAGAGCGATACAAAACACGATGATCCATGGCAGCTCACAACCAAACATAATAAAGCAACAGATAGAAATGATGGTGAAGACGATGAGAGACACGATGATCTCCAGGAGCGAGTGGTAGCGTGGTGATGCCGTGGCTTCTTCCCGGAACAGCTGGCTCTCAAGGTAATGGTCCCGGTAGTCTTCCTCCAGTTCGCTCTGGTTGAAGCTCAACGTACACTTGTTGATTGGGGGCTGGTAGAAGAACTCCTTATTTGTCACGTCTTGTTGTAGGCATTTGATGATCTGTTTATCATTTTGGTCACGGATGCGGCGCATCTTTGTCCAGGTTTCGTTCATAGGCATCGTGCTAGGATCATCCACGTCTGCAGAATGGAAATAAAAATGTATATTATATAAGGCAATAATTTTGGGGGGGTTCAAACAGATCCATGTTTTGGATTAATAAATTAGAAATTAGCTTAATCTATGACAAAGCAAGACTAAAAGAATAAGATTGCTAAATTATTTGGTAAATAAAAAGTTAAATAATTAAGACAGATGCATTACTAAAAAAGAATACTTAAGGAAACAAATAACAATATTAAGTTACGCTACAGAAAGTTCCAAAACAAGCCTTTAATATCAACAGAAATATATGTCTGCTTACATCGGTTTGAAACACCCAATACATCTTATACATAAAAATGTCTTTTTCAGCTCGTTTCCAGCTTCCAAACTATTCAAGGAATACAATAAACCAGAGAGTGGATTTTGACTGAAATCGTCTTTCAAGATGTCAACATTCCAACAGAAACATCTGACTAGCTGTATCAAAATAATCAAATACATCTGCAGTATCTTTAAATTTCTGAATTGTCGAAGAACCATAAACTCAATGCCAACATCGAAATAGGAACCTTTCAATCAACCAATCCATTGCTAATATGATTTCCTTAAATACCAAGTGTCTCAGTTTTCTATGCCATAATAAAACCTGACAGTTCCATACTGACATTACAACTCAAATGTCAAATGTTCAATACAAAAATATGATTTTTGTCTTGACGATCCAAAAAGGTTTAGTTTCAAAGTATCATGAGTTTCTTGGACAATAATGATGAATCTGATACTGCACACACGGCTCACAATGTAGAAATCTTTTTTCTCGCTGATTCTTAATGATACCTCTCAGCTACAGCATCTTTACCAAAGAGTTAAATTATGAATAAGTAAAAGGTGCATTCTCATTTCTCATTTCAATTTTTAAGAGATTTTTAACTAACTATAATACCTAATTCGTTCATATTACTACAGTTAATCTGACATGTCAATGTTTAACTGTAGTGGGGGCAGTGGGATAGCCTAGTGGTTAAAGTGTTCGCTCGTCATGCCAAAGACATTGATTCGATTCCCCATATGGGTACGATGTGTGAAGCCCATTTCTGGTGTCCCCCGCCATGATATTGCTGGAATATTGCTAAAAGCGGCCTAAAACTATACTCACTCACTCACTTAACTGTAGTAACTGTAGCAATATGACAGAAACAGGTGTTCTGACGTATTTTAAGAAGTAAATTTCATCTCTGAAGTAAATAAATGAAGTCGAGGGTTAAGGATACTGAAGGGGAAGATGCTGCATCAGTGAGTGAGTGAGTTTAGTTTTAGCAAAATTCCAGAAATATCATGTCGGGGACACCAGAAATGTTCATTACACCTTGTACCCATGTGGGGAACCGAACCCAGGTCTTCGGTCTTTAACCACTAGGCTACCCCAGTGTCCCGATCAGTAATAATGACAGAGAACAGACGTCTGATACTCACACTCGGTGGATTGATTGTATTGGAATGTCGACCCAGGGATTTAATCGTAGTTATAAGCAGACATATTCACTGGGGGTGTGACGATAGTGAGGTCTAAGGATTGTGGACACAAGATCAGCATCATTGTTCAGTTAATTATACCATGCTTCCAAAAGGGATTCGATTCCCACCGATTCAATACTCATAACCAACCTGACATGATAAACAGTACCATATTTCCCATAATAAGTGTTAGGACACTGAGATTGGTCGGTTTGTTGTTTAACGCTGCACACAGCAATATTCCAGCTATATGGCAGCAGTCTGTAAATATTCGAGTCTGGACCAGACAATCCAGTGATCAACATCATGAGCATAGGTCTACACAATTGGGCTACATGTGTCAACCAAGTCAGCTAGCCTGACCACCCAATCCAGTTAGTCAGCTCTTGCGACAAGCATGGTTACTGAAGATCAATTCTAACCCGGATCTCACAGGTATAGGACACAGAAACTGACTACAAGTTAAGGTAGGTTAATTCAGAAAATGTTCAAAACTGGAATTGTTTTTTCGTTCATCCTTTCACAAAATTCTGAGGTAGTTTAGCACTGCATCAGTGCCATGATGGATAACGAAGTGTGAAAGCCTATTCCTCGTTTTTAGTCCAGTTTTTAATTCTAAAAAGTCATGCAGGTATTAAATACTACTATAAAACGACTAATACATATAATTATACATTCCAACTTGAGAATTTGGGCAAACATTCAATGGAAACCTGGGCCTTGAACAAGTTGATATAAATTCCTGCAAATATTTAGGAAAAACATTTGAAACTCTCACAATCAGACAGTTGGATAAACCTAATGTCTCCATGAACTAAATCGCTGTATTATGTTTCAACTGACCCCAGTTCGATGCAAGCTGAAAATTCAATTAGTATTTTAGATCCTGTCAAACTCGCTTTACATTTGTTACAACAGTGTACCACAATACAATGCTCCATATCGTAACATCCCCAGTGTTAAACACCCGTTCAGAGTTAGCCACGCTTTATCTCACACATAATAAAGTCAGCGGAGAATGCCCGGCCGATACCATTATCATGCACCGCTGAAAAGATACAGAGACTGAGAACATGCAAACAATAGAAAGCAGAAACCAACAAAACAGGTCATGCAAAATGTTAAAGGCACAATGTCACACATTTTCGACAATATTTTGGCCAATATTATATATACTGGGGCATATGCACTCACTTTAGGTTCCTATTGATGCAATAAAGGACTTATTATCCCTTATGACTTGCCTGAAATCGATAATTGAAATTTTGAGGCAAACAGCTTCCAAACAGTGACCACTTGGAATGTAAACAATTGTTCCATACATCAAAAACTGTCACACACGGTGTTGTTACAAGTTGTGCATAGAATGTTCGTAAAGAGCGCTCCAAGGGACATAACTCTATGGGGTTCGCTTGAAATAATGTTCAGCCAGTAGAGGGCACAAGAGTCGATTTAATGCAACGTTGCATTAATTCATTCAAACTTATTAATTTAATATTGTAATCTAAATACATAATTATTTTTTAAAGAAATTACATGGTAGCTTCTCTAAGAGCTGATAGTATTATTGAGAGAAATGCACTATTTATTTTTAGAGAAGTGTGGTGTGATATAATGCCTTTACATCTGGGACCTTCCACAATCTATGTTTGACTACATAATTTGTTACAACGTTGCAGTTCAGATACAAAATATACATGGTCACACACAAAAATACTAAACACGGAAACACCACGGCCATCAAACAACATATCACGTATAACACTCAAGAGTTGAAGCATTGTAGTAAATGTATGATTCTGATTCAAATTTTAATGCTTTTGTGGCTTAGATCAATAGTGTCCAAAACATGTTTGATTAATTCCTGTAAATAAATTCCCATATTGTAATGCTATGAAACAAAAAGTATTCTCTAGGAATTTGGAATATGAAAAACGAGATATTTGAAATAAAAGTATCACTCAACATGATACCCTTTCATTGCAATGTAAATCTACAAGTTTAACCACAGATTTTAAATTTAAATTCCATTATAGTTTAAATATAGTTAATGGTAGAGCACGAAGCTAAAGCAAGAGTTTAGAAGATTACATACAAAGAAAAAGCTTTTTTAATAATTCTTTATTGGCAGTACACATTACTCCAACTTCACTAAGGCACTTGAGTGCCTTCAAGTCCTTTTCTTCAGTGTCATCAATCTTATCAGGTGTTGGACCTTTCATCCACATATGATCTGACCATACTGAAATTTACCTTTTCGACAATTTCATATAAAATCTAAACTAAATCAAATAATTCAAAAAGTATCTGAAGGAAGAACTATAATTACCAGATCCCTTCACTGAAAAGTGTCGTTTCCAATTTCATAATGCCCACTAATATTCCATAATCTTAAATGCTAAACCATTTCACACAAATTAATCTCAAATCAGCCATAGCATTATGTTCCAGTCAAAATCATATACATTGTTAGTCATTGCTTGGACATAATGTTACTGATGTGTTAAGGGAGACAATTCATTAGTGCTGAGCCCTGAACAAAGGGAGGCAACTAGTAGACATGCATATCCAGAGGGCGCTACAACAGGAGTGGAAGTAGACTAGTCAGTTAGTATGGCGTGCATGTAGCCTGTTAAAGCGGCAACCTTTCACTGCTCCGAGATTGCCTGGTTTGCCATCTGAGGTCTGAGAAGATGATTTAGAAGCACAGGTAACGTTATTGTTTAGATGGGATGAGGAAGGTCGGCAGGGTTTAGTCACATGATCAGATGCTGATGAATGCGAGTCTACACAGCAAAACAGGCGAGAGAGACTGGTTTGGTTAAACGATTTACCTGTACAGAAATAAAAACCAAAACAAATGAAAATAAAAAACAATCAAAGATAAGTTGAGTCATGAAACAGATATATGTGAATGATAGCATCCAGTTAGAGACCAACACAAAAACTTAAACCATAAACAGACATGAGAAGCCAGAACTTATTAAACATAACTGAACTGAAAATATTCTAGTCTGGGTTACGATAACCCTTTTGGGGGATGGCGTTTCTTTCTGGTGAAAATTTTCACCCGTTCAATCATCTCATCGAAAGAGGGTGCTACTTTCTTAAATTCTCAAAAGGGTACCTTTACAAATGTACAGGCCATTCCCTTGCCAAATCATATCTGCTCTGAGGACATGAGAAACATTAATTAATTACTAAGTCAAAAGACAGAACCATGTCTTTTACAGAACAAAGACAAGTTCTGCAGATGAATCTGTTAGGGCCGGGACGGGTAACCCGGATACCCGGGATGGGTGGGTAATGAGTTGGACCCGGGTACCCGTCTCAGTATCCAGACCCTTTATGATCATGTGACTAATACATTTAAAAAAGTAATTTGTTATTCTTTCATGATTAAAAGGTTGTATATGGTCTTTGACTGACTGAGTATGGTTTCTACGCCATTTTTAGCAATATTCCAGCAATATCACGACGGGGGACACCAGAAATGGCTTCACACATTGTACCCATGTGGGGAATCGAACCCGGGTCTTCGTCATGATGTGCGAACGCATTAACCACTCGGTTACCCCCCCTACCCCTCTCCATCTTACGAGGGCTGAAAAACTCAAGATTTTAGCCTCCGAGCTGAAGAATATATTGCCATTTCTTGCAAATTTGATGTCAGGAATTAACATTACGGGTATCCGGGTAGAGTAGGGTAATAGGGGGTGGGGTACCGGGTACAAAATTTTGACCCGTCCCAGCCCTAGAACCTGTCCATTGTGGAGACTGCCATTAGTTATGAATAGTCATTGTGATGTGAGTTTGCAACATAGGAATTTCATGATAATCACAGTCTCTACCCTGGAAGTAATGGCTTCCCAAACCTGACATCATCAATACTGGTTGCAATACAAAACATTCCTCGATCACCCATGGAGACATACAGCCATGTTGTCTCTTCTTGTATCAGTAAATCAAGGTCTGGTTCCAGCAAAAGGGATGCTGTCCCAACCAAAGACCATTCAGTATTGCCTGGCACAATGGCAAGAAAGCTCAACAACATATGCCTCAGCCTTGCCTCCTCTAAACATTGCTTTTGAGACAGGCTGGCTACTGGCTGAGTATGGTTTTACGCCGTTTTTAGCAATATTCCAGCAATATCACGGCGGGGGACACCAGAAATGGGCTTCACAAGTTGTACCCATGTGGGGAATCGAACCCGGGCCTTCGGCGTGACGAGCGAACGCTTTAACCACTAGGTTTGAGACAGGCAATTGTAGGGTTTGCATAGAGTTAATGGATGGAACAGGTTTCATTTTGACGTTCCACGGCTTCATTTTCATTAGCTGACAATAAACAGCAAGACCAAACAGTTACCATGTCATCATGGGTGACAGAGAAACACTGTATGAACTGTAGTGATGATGACTGTCATAATTCCTGTCTGATTAATGACTACATACAAAAGAGGTCACGGTGCCTCCATATAAGAATAACACAGAACATGCAAATATATGTAGAGTTATTAAAAACATATTTTGATAGAAACATGCAAAAGTTAAAGATAGATATACATATATACTGAAATGAAAGACAATACATGCTCATATTTAATGGATAGCTTAATTATGCATTAACTGATTGTGGGTCTCATTTTACACATCACAGAAAGTACCACCATGGAGATCTGTGCTCACCTGCACATTTTGCTGAACCATACGCATTAATTTTGATTGACCATCTCAAACAATGATTCATCACTGGTAAACCACAGATAAGATTGTGCAGTTACAGAAATGGCTGATGACTCCATGTAAATTAAATTGCATTTTGTACGACAATAAAGAAACCTGTTGATACATTTATTACTGCAGAGATTCCAAAGATTTTCTGTTACATAAGTAACAGCCAAGTGTTATTTTAAAAGAATATTATTAAGGTCAAATATTCAAAATAAGTTTAAATGGCCATGTGAACAGGTCTATGACACAATTTGGCTTCTTACCTATATTCTCATATCCTATAAAAGGATCAACAATGGTAGAAAATAGTTTTCAATATGGCAGCTCCAACAGCCATGTTGAAATGTCGACATAATACTTTATAGTAAATACACAGTTTCTGAGATTCATTTTGAAGAGTGATGAGGAGAAAGGGCGATAATATTCAAATTTAACCCACATAGTAACAAACAAATGAAGGAACCAATATCCACCTGTATTATATTTGAAAGGACATCATTTAACTAACTGACATGGCTGCCATTGTCGCCATATTTGATTTCAACAGTAACTGCTGTCTGGTCTGAGAAATTACCTTTCCTAGATCAACTTTTCCTTTTCTTATTTGTTTCAGAAGAGTATTTGTTCATTTATTACTGATAATGGAAAGCTCACATCCCCAGTTCAGGTGAGCTGAAAATACATACAACCTCCAACCCCACTTTTCTATAACTGGTCTTAAATTAATAAGCATTAATTATTAATGTTTCTACCCAATAATCTATTTCTTTTAAGATACCCTACACAAATGGAACTCTATTTTCTATCTTCTATTTTCAAATGCAACTTTCTATCTGCCAGTACATCCAAATTGCCAGTATGGTCATATCTTATCAATATTCTTCATTAACTTCTTTAAAATTGTAAGTAAGTTCTACAGCAGTAGTTTGAGTTAGTCTCAAGTAACAAGTATCCACCAATGGGAACAGCCCTGATCAGTGACCACCACAAACCTTCTTCTGGAATACGGTCCACTGAGGTTGTGCTGGCGAAGAAGCCGCTGCTGTGTCTGCGGCCCAGCAAGGCAGTAGGCGTCACTCCATTAATTTCTGGGGCCTAGAAGGAAGGGAAAAAAACAATTAGTACCAAAAGAGGGAAACTTATGTACAAGGCAACCTTTCCACATGATAAGATGCACATGTTTGTGAAGTGTGGCATTAAACAACAAACATTCTTTTAATGGAGCTTTTTTTGTTGCTATGTGAAAGCAGTGAACACCTTAGGCAAGTGAGTTTGTTCAAAGTTTCCTCTGTTTACCCAGCAGAAAATGGGTACCCGGTAGGATAAGTCATCACAATGTTGTATGTGCAAGTGGCGAGGGGTAGCGCAATATAAGTGGCCATATTATTATTATTATTATTATCATCTTTGTTCTGAGAATTATAGGAGAAATGTGTTGGAGATGTTGCTTGTAACATGCTTGGGGCTGCTTCTACTTGCCTAGGTCATGCTGGTTGGACAGAGCTAGCGACTGAGACGCAATCAGGGCTCCAGATAATTTTTCATGATCAGGAGTACGTACTCCTTATTTATTCAATATAGGAGTACTGGAAAACCTTAAGAGTACATTTAGAGTACTGAATGGAAATTAATGGCGTATCAGTAATCTTGTGTTTCGTTTCATCAGAGACCATATAATAGAGGGACGGCCCTCCCCAACAGTGTATCACTAACCATCAGCGCTACGGCCTGGCATGTAACTGATACACATCGACAACCTGCTATTATATGGTCTCTGGTTTCATACATGCACCGCAACATTGCTAGTCTTGTGTAAACAGGTCAATAAACAATAAAACAATAATTTTTCAGATAAATACGTCTGTAAATCATTCTAAGACCGTACACCATGGCTGTGGTGCGTATCTGCTACGCTTTCTAAATTATTTCCTACCATATCTTGCATATTTTTATCCGTACATACGCCGATATGACCCTTATCTGGAGCCCTGGCAATGCTGAAGCTTAACATGGATACTCTACATTCAACACAGCCTACCAACCAGCCCTCGTAAGGTGGACAGGGGTGGTGGGGTAGCCTAGTGGTTAATGCGTTCGCACATCATGATGAAGACCTGGGTTCAATTCCCCAAATGGGTACAATGTGTGAAGCCCATTTCTGGTGTCCCCCACCATAATATTGCTGGAATATTGCTAAAAGCGGCGTAAAACTAAATCACTCACTCACGTAATGTGGATAAGCAGGCAGGGTAACAACAGACTTTTCTTCTCTCTGAGCAGAAGCTCTACTCTATTCACATGACCACAGATGGAACCTGACTCAGAAGGTCTCTTTTCTAGTTTTGTAGGTATTAGCCTATCAAACTTCAACAAATATTCTCACTGTTATGTCACTGTAATATTTCTTACATCAGTCTGTTTTCAGTCAGAACTAAATCCATTTTCATTTTATTCTGTCTGTCAGCACTCTCAACAGCAGAGCATGTCATTATAGTTAATGGTTAGTCTCTGAACATATATAATTTTCAAAAGGAGCCCCAGTGAGATGCGAGATTCAGAACCTGATGAAATCTAGACTTGCTTCATTTAGGGCTTTACCATTGCAGGGAGGGCTAGGCTGTAGGGAAAATAATGAGGTTCAGGGACTGTGAGACAGACTAAGCATGCCATTAATGTTAATTTTTTATATATTTACTTGTCATCACTGTTACTGGCATGCCATCATGGACAATCATGACCCATCAATAATTTATTCAATCGTTCCATCAATGTAAGGCCACTTCGTCACCATGCCTGCTCGGTAGACTGAGCACACACTATTATGCTCATTGAATATTCACATGTGGATTGTTTTTTTCAATCCATCAACAACGTAAAATCAGCTGAACCTCCACGATAAGCGGACGTACCTCCCTGTCTGGGTGGTTGGATGTGGCAGTGACAGAGTTGTCTCCCCCTGAGGCTGGGTCGGCTGCAGGCTTGGCCTGGTAAACAAGAAAACATACATCTAAGACATGAAGTTGACTGACGCTTAGGCTCTGAATATATGTAACTCTGAGAGAACTAAATAGCTCCATGTAAATTGAAAAGGAACCCACCGAAGCTGGGAATATTCCTGAACCTAGGGGAATCTTGACTTCCTTCATTTTGAATGTTGATCCGTAAAGATCCGATTTAGAATTGGTCTTCAGCAACCCATGCTTCTTGTAAGAGGCAACTAAGGGTATCGGGTGGGCAGACTTACTTGACACATGTCATCGTATCCCAATTGCATAGGACCCGTGAAGATCCGGGTTAGAATTGGTCTTCAGCAACCCATGCTTCTCATAACAGGCGACTAACGGGATGGGGTGGGCAGACTTGGTTGACACATGTCATTGTATCCCAATTACATAGATCGATGCTCGTGCTGTTGGTCACTGGACTGTCTGCTCCAGACTTGATTATTTACAGACGGCCGCCATATAGCTGGAATATTTCTGAGTGTTGCGTTAAACAACAAACCATCAATTAGAGTGTTACTATGACTGGCAGTGCACAACCAAAGATTAAATGGTTCAGGGACTGTGAGACAGACTGGTCTTGCGAAGCTGGCACATTTTTTCAGGTAAACATTTGACGAACTGATACTGAAAATCTGTTTTGATACCTTCTCTGATGATAAAGTGTTTGTTGACAGCTAAAGTACCATGGCTTCTAAATAATTGTGTCTGACCATCCAATCCACTAAGTTGCCTCTTGTGACATGCATAGGTTTCTTGAGGCCTATTCTACCCTGGACGGGGATGATGATATTGTGTAGTGAGCTTCCTTTAATGTCTCTTTGACCAGTATTTCAGTTACAACATGATACTCATCCTCGATAATCTCCAGAGAATACGTTCCCAATAAATCTCCACTACACCCTGGATGCATCTTCGTTTGGCCCGATGATTTTATTACCTCCCTTGGTTGGCTTTTTATCCAATCAGGTGTCTACGATGGGAAGTTGAGCGTACCAATCACAACTCACTTTCGCTTTTTAAATTATCTAACCGATTAAACTTGGCAACACAATACCATATTGGCAGAGGTACTCTGAAAGAGGTAGAAGGAGTTCTTGCATATATTTTTTTAAGGTTTCAGACCTGTCAATTTGTCTGCATGTTTTCCCCCCAAACCTGAGTCACACAGCGAACAAACTTTCGCGGCTGCGACCGCTATCTTTGTTGACACTGGCAAGCTCGGTTGTAGCAGCGGATTATCTGATTGGCTACTGTGAGAATGCGGAGCCAGCACAGGGAGGTAATAAAATTATCCGGCCAAACCGTAGATGCATCCAGGGTATAGTGGAGATTTATAGGAACGTATACCCTGGAGATTATCGAGGATGCATGATACTGAGGATAACACAACAGTATTAAATGCTTCTATTTCACAATCCATCTTCTCAACCACAGTGTGTGTATGGAACAAACAGACCACAACAGTATCTAATAATTCAACAACTGTACAACCCCACGTCCTTGTCACAACCTCCCATCTTGTCTCACCCACCCAGTGTGTGTAACGGAACAAACAGACCACAACAGTATCTAATAATTCAACAACTGTACAACCCCACGTCCTTGTCACAACCTCCCACCTTTTCTGCCTCGGGGGTGCTGCCATCTTCTATCGGAATGACGGTGCTGTTGGATGTCTGAGCAGGTTCAGCCTCGGGGCTCGTCCCTTCCTTCTTCTTCGGGCCCAGGATGAAGTAAGTCCGGATATCTGAAACAACCATGATACATGGAAATGCTCAGATTTGAAAAAAGGTCAAAACAGAGCTGATGTTTTGATAGCCACTACAAACTCAACACATACCAAATTTCATTACATTTCGACTGGAAATGACCTATGAGTAATGCCTATATGTTTAAGCTGTTAGTATTGTCGAATCAAAGTCAACAGTTTGAATATTGCAAAGAAACAAAACATATATATTTTCAGTCTAATAACTAACTATGCATACATAGCAAATTTCATTAGTTCACTTGACTTCAATGTGGTGAAATGTGGTAATTATTGATCAGGGCTCCAGATAATTTTTCATGGTCAGGAGTACGGACTCCTTATTTTTTCAATATAGGAGTACTCGAAAACCTTAAGCCTACATTTAGAGTACTGAATGGAATTTAATGGCGTATCAGTAATCTTGTGTTTCGTTTTATATATGCACCACAACATTGCTAGTCTTGTGTAAACAGGTCAATATACAATAAAACAATACTTTTTCAGATAAATACGTCTGTAAATGATTCTAAGACCGTACACCATTGCCGTGGTGCGTATCTGCTACGTTTTATAAATGATTTCCTACTGTATCGTGCAAATTTTGTATCCGTACATACGCCGATACGGCCCTTATCTGGAGCCCTGATTGATTATTAGAATGAAAACCATTAACACGTAGTTCAATCTGACCTCCGAGATTATGTGGGAGAGTGCAAACATAGTTGTAATATCATTGACTCTCATGTAATATTTATTTTAGAGGTTTGTACTGGCACGCTTATAAGAATTACCTGCAGCCAGGTCTAGAGATTGGTCTGTGGTTGCTTAAAATGGCGCTGGGTGATTAAAGCAGAAAGTATGCAAGGGTGGAAATAACCCATTGCCCGAAGTCCGAGTCCAGTGTTTTTTTCTGTCGGGCAAGCAAATTTGTATATCATGCTGTACCGGTGTCCAGTTGACTTTCCAATGTTAATAATGTTGTTTATTTAAAAAATCAACAAGAAAACAGCCGGTATAGTGGAAAAATGATCAGGGCAAGTGATTTTTTTACATGTGCCACTGTACCAGAGAACACTAGCAATTTTAAAGTTATTTCCACCCCTGATACGATATATGAAGGTAGCTGTTAATTGAGCCAGGGTCAGACCAACTAGTGATTGATAGACTGTATGAGAAACAAGTCACAAAAGTCAGGGCACACACTGTCTAAATTAAGTTGATTTAATAATAAGCACAGAAAACTTGGACCTTATCTACATGATTCTATGGGGATTCTCAACTAGGCAGAAAAATAAGTGTGCAGTGGGTTAGCTTAATGGTTAAAGCGTTTGCTGGTCCTGGTGAGAGGCCCTGGGTTCAATTCCCAACATGGGCACAATGTGTTATGGTTACTTCTTATATCCCCTGCCATTTATTTTATTCCAACTTTAACTTCAGCCAGTAAACAAAAACAATGAACCCAGAGATAGATGTTTAAAGAAATACCCCTTCTGTCAGGGCATGATGGCGACGCAATCCAACAAGTCATCAAGCTCACCCATCCGATCTAGTTAGTCACTTCTAAACCAAAACTGGATCTGGAGACCAATTCTTAACTCAACTTTTCACTGATTAAACCATTATGATGATGCCACGCTATTTTCTTGCCTTTGACACTAAGCAAGGACTGACTGACTGACTGAGTATGGTTTTACGCCGTTTTTAGCAATATTCCAGCAATATCACGGCGGAGGACACCAGAAATGGGCTTCACAAATTGTACCCATGTGCGGAATGAACCCAGGCCTTCAGCGTGACAAGCGAATATTTTAACCACTAGGCTACCCCAACGCCCCACTAAGCAAGGAATTCACTGGCTATTCTGAATGCAAATTTTAAACAATTAAAGGTGATGCAACTAAATGTAATAATGCAAAATTATAGTGAAATTATATTGCAGCCATAACATGGTTTAAGTCCGAGAAGTCATTTAAACATGTTAAATCTAATTCCTGAATAAACAGATTCAAGTCATTTCTCTATTAATAGTACAAGAATATGAATGATCATTATCTAAATACAAATATTGTCTACATGTAAGGAAAGTCGTATCTACTGTCAAATTATAACAGCCTAGAGACTAATTATAAGGATTAGAGTCAAATTGTTAAAGATGGCAGTAAAATTACTAATATTGACAGTTAAAATAGCAGTGCCCACAGTGACATTATTGCAGCCAAGAGAGGAATTATAATAATTTGAAATAATTTTCATCCACAAGCATTGTACATGACGCAATGTCCTGAGTGAATGAGTGAGTGAGTTTAGTTTTACGCTACTTTTAGCAATATTCCAGCAATATCATGGCCGGGAACCCCAGAAACTTGGCTTTACACATTGTACCCATGTGGGGAATAGAACCCGGGCCTTTGGGTGACGGGCGAACGCTTAAACCGCTGGGCTACGTCACAACCCCTAGCACGTCCTGAGTATTCCTACCGTTGAGGTCCTCGGTGTGCCTGATGGTGAAGCTGGACTTGGTGATGTCATAGTGCTCAATCAAGGTCTTGTTGGTGTTCAGGTCTGGAACAGACAAAAGGACAGTCAATGTCTACACAGTCACAGTATATACACACTTGTGTGGACCATAAACCACTCTGGTTTGAGTGGTTCAAGCATTGAATCAAATATATCACATAAAAATATGGACGATTGCTTGAACCAAATATATTTCTTATTGTATATATACCATTTTGGCCTCATTAAAGTGAAAGCTCATGAGGCATGTATAAAAAAAATATTTTTAAAAAAATTATAAGGTTAATGTTTAACTTAATTTTTGAAACTATTTGCTGCCAAGATGTCATTAAACTTGAAACAATATTGACATTCTTTGAAGTGAATGAGTTTGGAATTACGCCACTTCAGGGGTGGAAATAACCCATTGCCCGACGTCCGAGTCCAGTGTTGTTTTCTGTCGGGCAAGCTAATTTGTACATCATGTTGTACCGGTGTCCAGTTGACTTTACAATGTTAATTATGTTGTTTATTTAAAAGATCAACAAGAAAATCAGCCGGTATAGTGGAACAATTATCAGGGCAAGTGATTTTACATGTGCCACTGTATCAGAGAACACTAGCAAGTTTAAAGTTATTTCCACCCCTGTCGTTGACACATGTCATCGGTTCCCAATTGCGCAGATCGATGCTCATGCTGTGGATCACTGGATTGTCTGGTCCAGACTCGATTAATTACAGACCGCCACCATATTGCTGGAATTAGCTGAGTGCGGCGTAAAACTAAACTCATTCACTCACTCACTCCACCCCCTGTCACTTTCAGTACAATTCCAGCAATATCATGGCAGAGGAGTGAGAGGACACAAGAAATGGGCTTCACACATTGTACCCAAGAGGGGAATCGAACCCTGGCTTCAGCATGACAGGCAAACACTTTAACCAATATGCTATCCCACTCTCCCCCATCTTCAAGTAAACAAAAACTGTTCTATTTTTTTATTCTTATTTCATCAATATTTTAAATTTAGACAGTTGGGGGAGTTGGGGAAGACAGACTTCCACTATAGTATCATAATTCTTACTCAAATAGTTGTTGCATCATCAGTATTGTAGAACTTGTACTTTAATCAGGTTTGTACTTTAATAATAAAGTACAATCCCAAATATAACAGTTGTTACATCAGCATCACGTCTATCATTAATAGTTGTAACAGCAATAGTATCCAGCAATGAGAGCTGACCCAGTAATAGATTTATGACCAGGACTTGAAATTGTAACAGTAAATACTATTAGTGTAACACCTGGTTGATAATAATGTCGAGGTATTTCATTCACAACTTGTTGAGAGCCCACTTCACAGCAGTCCCAACCAAACCATGTATCAATGGCTCTCCTGTAGTAACCTTGACCTTGGTTTATACCTGGACACACTACGACCCAAACACTACATCCCCCCAACTCCCTTCCCCTCCAGCTGAAAGTAAGCTTCCTCAAACTTTGCACCACAAATAGATTCTAGGCCTCGGCATGAGGTCATGTGGCTATAAATAGCTTGCCGTCTGTAACCCGATCTGGTCGTAAGATAAATATAGCCAAGGACCTCCTTCCTTGTATTCCTCAGCAAGGAAGAGACATGAAGATGGCAGAAGTCACCGTGTGGGTAAACCGCCTCGGGACAAAGGCATCGTCAGTATTGATTCATTGAATCTTGCGAAACATATTGCATTCTACCAGTCAAAACACGGCCCAACTCTTGACCTGGCATATCTTTAGAGAGATACACCAATCATTAACCCAGTCAGATGCAGGCAAATATATTTTGTCTCAGTATGAAAACAAACTGATAATAAAATCTGTTTAGAATTTCAGCTGTTTTTCATAAAGTGTTGTACCATATGCTGTACTTAGTTTGAAATTATTGAATTATGAAAACATTTTGTCTGCACACTTTCTGTATTTCCACAAATGTATTTATGAACTCATGTTTAAAGTTTATGTTTTAAGGAAAAACATTTATATAGGCTGATGCAGGTTGTTTACTGATCCTGTTTCCTTTTGAATTAATTATATTTTATTGTGTGATACATGTCTCTCGGGAAATAAAATACTGTTTAAAATCAAAATATATTTTGGGTTATCTGTGCTGAATATTTTTTCACAAATTTAACTTAAAAACTACAGTTTTATTTCAGCTTTGTCAACTTCATGCTGCACTGACACTGATAAATGAAGGAGATAACAAAAGTATTGCAGGTGATAGATAATATATTATAGGCAATAACTAACATATCATAGGTGATAATAAACACATCAGAGGAAACAGCTGTTTATCATATCCACATTCAATCCAATATAAGTAGCTGAACATTCAATATTGAGAGAATTTTCCTAAACCTAATTAGAAAAATATCTCCCAAAAGAATTTCATCCGAACATGGCAAAATAATGACATTGACTGAGGCCCTCTCATAGCGTTGAATGTCTTGGTGATTAGACATTAATATTGGATTCCACAACTAGTGTACCATCAGCAAACACTGACTGACTGACTGAGTTTGTTTTACGCCGCTTTTAGCAATATTCCAGCAACATCACGGCAGGGGACACTCAGCAAACACAACATGAACTATGTGTAATGCTTATCTCATTGGAGATGTCTTCGTTTAAATCGAAATTTGGTGACTCGAAGAAGACAACTGTACCTCAACTTTCTGTACAAAGACTGTAATTCTATCAAAACCAAAAGATTTGATAAATCTGTTGCATAATTTTACGTAATTTCAATCAATGCAAAATTCATACAATTTTCTGTCCTGAAGTTGTGTTCATTCTTTATCTAAGCACCGGTTGCAGCATCTTGCATGCTCCCAATTCCGTCATATCGTATCTGTAATAAACCATATCCTGTATCTATCTCACTATTGCATCATTTCAGCCCTACGTTTGTTCTGCTCTAATGTCAAGCATTTGTCCCGCTTAATTTCATCTGTACATTGTCCTAACATTACATCAAACAGACACCATCAAATTATGTAATTCCAACAAATAATCTGCCACGGAACTGGAACCCTGTTTTGTGTCCAAATCTTACGTCGGAGCAATCTAAAGTCGAGCGGTTATACATGCAGCATGATTTAATAACATTCCACACAGTGCAACGCATGTCCGTCTCACGGTCTCACAGCCTGCCGAGTCGGTTGTCTTAGTAACAAGTTCCTTTCAATTGATGGGAGTTCATTCTGCCCGAATCAATGAGAGTAATAATTTGCCCAACATTCCCTTTCCAATTCCACTTCACAAGGTTGACACCATGTTGTGACAGCTGGACATCAACGGAACACTAGTCGGTCAAGAAATGTCCATTTCCATTAGAACATAAACTTGCTGAGTTACCCATAGATCCATACTCCCACCAGACAGAGGTGGTGCAGGAGGCTGGATGTCAAGCCAAGGAAGTAGACCGAGAGTAATAGGAGTCAGTGTTATTTAAGGAAGAGAGTTTTATGGATGTCAACTTCTCTATTATGAGGAACACAACATTTCAGAGTATATCCTTACTCTGGCCTGCTCCCGAATCCGGCATATATCTGCAACAAACTATATCCTGTCTGAGCCTACCAGTCACTATTGCATCATTTCAACCCTTACTTTGTTCTGCTCTAATGTCAAGCATTTGTCTCGCTTAATTTCATCTGTACCTTGTCCTAACATTACATCGAACAGACACCATCAAATTATGTAATTCCAACAAATAATCTGCCACGGAACTGGAACCCTGTTTTGTGTCCAAATCTTACAGCGGAGCAATCTAAAGTCGCGCAGTTATACATGCAGCATGTTTAATAACATTCCACACATTCCATGTCTCTTTACTTTTGTCGTTCTTACATGTACATATATATGCTCTCTGCCTCGTATCATTCATTCACCTGATGAAGGAGTAAGGAGTTATGTTGTGTCCATCACAGGGTTTATACTAATGATAATAATACATAATAATTTTATGATCCATAACCTCTTTTAGGCAGTATAAAAATTGGAATAGCGATAGCCAATCAAAACCTATCATGTTACATTACGTTATGTTACGTTATGTTATGTTATGTTACGTTACGTTACGTTATGTCCATCACTGGCTTCATACTAACTATAGTCATACAAAAGACTCGGTTGATCCTTAACTCCTCTTGAGTAGTATATCATTTAGCATGGTTATAACACATCAAAAGCTGTTGATTAATGCAGGTCTTGCAGATGTACGGCCTATATTTTATTCAAACATTCAATGGGCTATTGCTTGCAGTAAATATTTGAAAGCAGGCCATTCAATATGAACACTCAGGTCGAAACAGTTAAATGGCTGCATCAAGGCAGGGGTCTAATGTAGCAAATGTGCCAAGCCAGGTGGAATGGACACCGAGTAATTTATTTAACAGTCCTGTGACACGTTTGTGGCCAGAATGAAGTGTTCATTACCCCGATCTCCCTATTAATGACGAGTAATCAGACTGTGAATTAACAGAACTGATGCACCTAGACTGGGAGTAAGTGGACTCAAGACTTGTCTTTCAGTTCCAATAAATCCCAATTACCTTAGCACTGAAGGAATACATTTAGCAGTTCATCAACGCTTGGAACAGACCTCTGCTTGTGCACCCTTGTGACACTTTCTTGAAGCCAGTTATAAGGCATCTAAATATGTTAATGAGTGAGTTAGGTTTTACTCCGCTTTTAGCAATATTCCAGCAATATCGCTGCGTGAACACCAAAAATGCGCATCACACATTGTACCCATGTGGGGAATCGAACTTGGGCCTTCGGTGTGACGAGCAAATGCTTAAATCACTAGGGTACCCCTTTATCCCTGAATAGCTTAATGCTTTTGATGAACTTTTTGATGAACTGCTAAAGAGGTGAATTTGTTCTTAAAAGACCCACTCAGGTCTACGACACCAGGGTGTAAATAGTCCAGTCTGGATCAGACAACCCAGTGATTGGGTATTACGCCATGCACTCATGAACTATTTGGCCACCTCGTATAACCAGTACAGGTTCCTGGGGG